GAAGCGGCCAGAGAATCTCCGCCAACTATTGCATAGGGCCCACCTTAACTTCATCCCCGAATTCGAACATACGCCAAAGAACTTGAAGAAAAAGGCAATTAAACGGAAGTATTCACCAGAACTACCTTATAGTTCGCAAATTGGAAAATCAATTACCCATACGCCAAGCCCGCAAGCGACCATCTCAAGGTAGAAGACATGCCCGTCCAGCATCAAGGCTACCTCTGATTGGTCGAAGATGTGGGTCCAAAAGCCAATCGTGGTTCAGTATCGGCTGAATGGTGGTTGCCGATGGCGCGTCTCCTGAGGAATCGGGAGGCTATTAGTCAAATAAATAATCACCACTCAGCTCTGACACCTTTCGGTGTCTGGATGCCATGCTACTCGAAGAGAGAATGAGGGCTGAGGTAATGTTCAAACCCACACAAGAGCGGTCGAAACGCCGTGGTTAGTTTCGAACCACGGACCGTACGGCGAGCGATCTCGCTCTCTAACCACAGTTATCTCGAGCGGTTACTCAGACCTCCACCTGTTTACCAACTTGATATGTGACGTTCTGTGAGCGTCACGTAATATTTTTGGTGTTGCTCTGTGGGTCGGGTTGTACAAACCGGCACACCGCGTAACTTCCAGTCTCTTGACGGGTAAAACAACATGTGTATCCCGGAAGTTGCGTTGACAATAGTGTGGCTTACGAATCCAATGCATGAACCACAAATCCCAGAACGGCTTTTGTGGTCTTGGGCCGTTCATGACACCAAAACGGTATATTACCGAGTCCAGGAGAATGCGTATATCAGACCATAGAGCCGATTGTACTGTTGTACGGCTGAGAGATTTGATCAGATTTGGATAAAATATCTTCACATCTTTGACTACTGTTGCCTCGGAACCATAACTGGAGACAGAACGGCATGGCAGGTAACTGATATTGGGTGCGAAACGGCTCAGTGATAAAAGCGCGAATTTACTGACCGGAAAATCTGTGTTTTGAACCCGATCTCTGCCTCTGGACTCCCCCTGTCTAGGCTTGGGCAACCTGTCAATATCACAGCCCTCGTGCTTCCTTCTCGTGGCAAGGCATTTAGGCACCGAAAGGGTTCTACAGCTGAACGATTCAACCGTTGTCAGCGGCGTTTATATTGTCAATTTCCATGCAGATTAATTAGGCATGGGAGGTTTAAGCAACTCGGATGTTTGGGGTAGGCTAGCTCCAGGTCTTCACTCTTGCCCCGTGTATTCCTTTCCATTATAAGGCCCAAAATAAAGTGCCATCATTGTACGGCAGTTAAGGATCTGATGTCAGTGATGCCGGTGATGATCACAATTAGTATAAATCGTCAGGGCTCATTCCTCTAGCTTATCCTGTTCGGGTTTCCCACATACATTTGCTACGGATTGAGTCTAGGTCCCGACGGAGCGTGAGGATAGAGCGTATTTGCGTAGGATGGATAGCGCTCCACATATCTGAGAATAGATGCACATAAGCTGAAAATAAAGGCGAAAGCATGGCTACTGTGGAGCGACAATGTGATCACAAGGGATGGTCGTGACAATGCTGTGATCATGCTTCTAGGTGTCGAATTTGCATCTAGAGAGACTAAGGGTTTGATTATGCGGATGGCAGTGCTTAGCTGTTTCACGACTGCCTCCGTATGAAGTTTTCTAACTGAAATATCGGAGTTGGCCTAATGTTTCGTGATATTTTTTTGTACTTTCAAAGTTCAAAGTCCTCAGATTTCATCATTCTTTCCTTGTTTCCCCGGGACTTCAGTCATTAGCCGCGTAATTCGTGATAGCGGATAGTCAAGGTGCGATCAGCGAAATCAAACGCCTTTAGATGTTTGACCGCGATTGTCTGTGTGGTACGCAGTAGCTAGCTGGCTATAAGGAGTACACAATGAATTCGTGCGTAAACGGGTACTTGGTAATGGTTCGTTGGAACAACATACCAGGCTTACCCGGTTAGGGTAGTTGAGGTGTGTGTTGCGCGTAACTAACCGTCTTCTACTCAAAAATAGCGTTGGCCTCTTCAAGCCATAGTTGGTAAAATCTTCGCAGACCGTGACCTGGCAATGTAAAATGAAAACGACTACAGACAAACCAAGCATTGTGCAACCTTCGCGGTTTCCTGGGTGGGACACACATGGTTCTGTTTGCACTTGGCTGGACAGTGAATGGTACTCAACCGATCCAGAGGGCGCGAATACTAGCCTTTCCTAACCGGACAGCCTAGCCTCGTTTCGCGAGAGTTTGATTTCAGAAGTTACGGTCGTAACTCTTAACCTTTTCTCGATTGCCCTCAAGGCTTCTTTGTCAGCGTGCCTTTCAGTTATGAAAGGCTGTTCCAAACGCTGTTCAGGAGTTTCACCAGATTGAGCAAGTCCTTTCCTATGCTTAAAGAGGTCAGCGGAAGACAATTAAGATCGAACGCTTTATGTCGCTCCAGAAATTTGGTTTCGTCTGTTTGGGCTGAGTAGTTCTCGTCTTGTTGGTGCCTTGGACGGTGTCGTATGCACGTCAATGGAATTGTTCTTCGAGGCGTTCCAGCCACCGACGCAGTCGCCAGGACTTGGAGCCATCCTTTTCTAACTTCATTAGCGGATGGTTTTCCCGGCCCAGTGTTACTGATAAGATGCAAAGGAGTTCGACCATTTCTGATCGCTACCAGCTTTGATTTATCGGGCTTTTCTTAGCCACCGTTTCTTCCGATCAACCTTGAGACCGCGGGTCAGGCGTTGTCTCACAGGTCTGGTTCTGAATCTTATTATCACCCCTGCAGGACCGCCCTCCTTGCTGCGATCATGGACATGGGTTGTTGTAAAGTCCAACTCTGATCTGATCGTGGCGTCGTTTTGGAACTTTCGGATGTCAGGCCAGTCTTCGTTCAGCCGACTGGCTTGTTACGATTTCGTAATTTGTCTAGACGACTTTAGCTGACAAAATACTTTTACGACAGAATCTCGCAGGCGGCGAGTATTGTGGCGGCAGGTGGTCTTACCCTCGATTTCTGCAACAGGGTTTTTTCGAAGCTACCTCGTTAAACACCGCTTCATCACTCTTCAGCGGCTGTACTTGGTGATATCTCGAAAGCGTTTGATTTGGTATGCATGACTTAACTGTCAGACCTCCCTAGGTTCCTGGAGCACTTTCACCTGTATTTCGACACATCTCACAGTCTTACGAGAATACTGTAGCATTCTTCCCCACTTCTGAAGTTCACTACTTCAGAAGTTTTAGGTATGGAGATCTACTCTCTCAAATATTGGATCTGGTTCATGGGTTGTCGATACCGCAACGGAGCTACCAGTTCCATGACACCTTAGTTAATGGTTCTACCTTCGTGAATGACTGGGTCATGTGTGAGCAAAGACAAGCTCCCCTTAGGGAAGAGTTTGAGTTGGAAAGAGCTGATATGACGAACGCCAGAGAGTCGTAACCAGGGTCAATTTTGGGAAATTAAAATATCGGTTGACCACAGTCTCAGTCGAGTCTTTTTGCTCCTACGAGGTGCTCGTCAATCCTCTGGATATAATGGGTACTGTGACATATTTGGGCGTCTCTTTTACTCTCAACGAGAAAGGAGCCTGAGATCACTGACAGCAGCTGCTGTGACTGCCTGATGAAGTTATGCATGCCTCGTCAAAGCTGCATCAAGGGATGGAGGTGAAAAGCAACTACCTGATGCAGAGACTGACATATTCGCGTGCACTCTGCCAAGTCCACTGGAACACCTCCAAAAGGTTGGGCAATTGCACCAGAGAGTGTGTTTGTGGTTGGTTACGTCCACGGAGGGACGCCCCCATCCGTTACACCCACTTGGGCAAAAACATGGGGGACTGGCTACCCAACATCTGAGTTCAACCGTCCTGATGCTGCGGAAAACGCGTATGGAAATGCTTTTGTCTACCCAGTGCTGAGTACCACGCAAGGTAGTTAATGATCCAGCAGTTAGTAAGGCTGGTCGGTGTCTCCAACTTCTGATCTGAGTCCAAGATGCGTGCAATAACGTCAAGGAAGATATAGTGGCCTCTTGGGGCGATATCCCGCGCTAACATGTTGAGAGTTGCAGTGTTCAGGAGTTACTCGCTTCGCCTGTAATCGGTGGCTTGTGTTTCCAGAGCGCCTGTTTCCTCGTGTACTTATCCGGGATATTCAACTCCGGTGCAACCTGCGTATAGCATGACAGTTGTCTCTGATCAGATGGTCTTTTGTGGAAACTGTGCTCAACCGAAGAGTTTGATGCATATGCTGAAGTTCTACCTGATCACACATGGTGCTCGATGTTCACCTTGTGGTCGGGTTGCAAGGAAGCCCGCAAAACGTCTCCGCCTAGGATACGCCGTCTTTGAAGAGTTTGAGCAGCTGCCTTGAACTCTCTCATCAAGCCCGATCTAATCGCTATTCGAGAGCTCCGAGAAACCGTAGTAGATGTATGCATGGTCTAGGGTGGGCCTCGGAATGATTGTGTTGAATGAAAAGAAGCAGAAGTATGGGGCTGATGATTCTTCCCACGCTATCCTGTCAGCCCCATGTGACATCAATTGTGATGTGGATTTTCGGTTAATGAACCGATGATCATTTCATATTGGAGGATTTGCTTCCATCAAGCTGCCAAGGCTGTTGCTAAACTTGAGCTTCCTAAGGGCACAGTCAATCACTTGTGTTTGCTCACCGTTTGGGGCTCGGCATGTAGTTACCATACATATGTGCGGTAGATGGTGCTGAGTGTTCTTTCTTGCCACTGACTTTCACACCTTACCCTGTATAAGAAGAAAAAAAGCGTTCAGCTGTAGCACCCTTCCGGTGCCTAGCTGCCATGCCACCCGAAGGAAGCAAGAGGGCTGGGATACTGCCAG